AAGCAATCTTTCATGTCAAACTATACCGGTGTATATACGCGTTCGCTATGAAAAAAAAATTTAATTTAAGAAAATTATATTTCATTTATTAGATAGAAGCCCAAAATACAGCTGCATACGTCACGTAGGAACACATACTGATCTACGTATAAACCTATTGGTTATATTATTATATATTATAATTTTGTTAATTTATATTTATTTTTAATTATTATTTATAAATTATATAATTTTATTATTAATCTGTTCTCCATAGATGCTCCTTGTACGCTACGTTAATCCTGCCTCCCGCCATCCCATTCGGGTCCCGCGCGAGTATGTCCTGATAGCACGCTAACACTAACATCATCTTTAGTCAGCCTCCGCATCTTCACATAAACGCAGCAGCAGCAGCAGCAGGAGGAACAGAGACAGAGACAGAGACAACCGTAGCACAAGCAGCAGCAGCAACAGCAGGAACAGAGACAGAGACAACAGTAGCACAAGCAGCAGCAGCAACAGCAGGAACAGAGACAGAGACAACAGTAGCACAAGCAGCAGCAGCAACAGTAGTAGTAGCACCATCATCAGCAGCAGCCACAGTAGAGTAGCACCATCATCATCATCAGCAGCAGCAGCAGCAGCAGCATCCGCGGACATACGAGAGAACGCGTAACCTCTCTCGCCCTCTCTCTCTCCCCCTCTCTCTCTCTCTCTCTCTGACCAGTTCTGACCACGCTGTTCTTTCTCGATGGAGGATAACCGGCGAAAGAGCGCAATCTAGCTTCGAAAACCCGTTTCGATGATGGGTTGAGAGACAAACGGCCGCGTCGATCAAGTAATTGACATCAAGGCGCGGACATCCCGTGAACACACGCGTGCAGTCAATCGTGAGGAAGCGACCCCCCCCCCCCCAGTAGCGACCCCCCCCCCCAGTAGTGTTGCCACTAATTATGTGAACGTATGTAGCACTAACAGTGATCGAATGCGTGACAGTGCGCGGTGGTGGTGGCAGCGGTGAGCGTGGGGACATAGTCCGACACACGGCTACGCTAGAGAGGTACCGACGAACCAGAACTCAAGGAACCAGTGAGAAACGAGAAAAACGTTATTCATATTAGCTTCTCACTACGTAAGCAAGAAGGTGCGTGGCTCTTCGACGTGAAGTAGTCGTAGGTCCTGGTCCCCGGGCTACACTAGCAACGCTTCGGTTAGCAACTAACAGCTAGCACGAGGTGGTAAAGAAACAGTGCGTGTACAGAGAAATCTCCTGCGTGTTTATAGAGGAAGGAGTCCACGGTGCGTGTTTATAGAGGAAGGAGTCCACCGTGCGTGTGTATAGCGGAAGGAGAGATGAAGAAGGAAAGAAAGATCTTCGTCTGGCTCGTGTTCATCGTGGTGCTGGTGATCGGTTCGCACTTCCTAGCGGAGTACATACGCCAAGGTAAATATATAGGCCGTGGCTGCTCGACCGACTCCGGACGCGTTGCCTCCACGCTATACTAGCTTCTTGATTTCGACTAGCCTTCGACTAGGTTTCGGACGAGTATAGCCACTGTACTGCGAAATATATATTGCAATAAACACATATATGTATGCGTGCGTACGAATATGTACAATGTATACGTACACGTACGCCATGTGCGTAAAATCATGTGAGATGTGTACGTATATATATATGCACTACATGTAGATATACGCTATATCAAGTGCTAATAATACCTCAGGTATTATTATCAGTATATCATGTATTAATAATTATTAACTCTTAATTGACTATATATATATATATATAATTACACGTTCTTGTATGCGGGTTTTTACTGTATTCGGTATAGCGCATATTGTCTGAAAGTTCACAAGGTTAGTGGCGCCCGCAGATAGAAGCACTGGAAGCTGCTTCCAGTAAATTTTGGGTTAAAAAATTTTGTTCCTACATTTTGTTCCTAAATCTCTCTCGCAAGACTCACCAGATTGCATCTCCAGACGTCTACCATTCAACATTTTTCAGGGGGCATTCCCCCAGACCCCCCTAGCATGCAGCGCGCCTACGGCACTTGCTTTATATTATCACTGAGGATTTTATTCATCTGTGCTTCTAATTTCTTAAGACCTGTGGGCGCCAGTGCACAAGGTTACAGTATAGTTACTTGAATCGGCAATTTCACTGAAATACACCCATAACACTCACACAAACATGCACACAATCTTGTATCTTGATTCCCTCTCTTCCTCTCTTCTCTTTCACAAAGCATGAATTCGTGTGCGCAGCAGCAACTCTAGTAAACACACGCCAGCCAGCTCCCAGACAAAATACCGTCATCAGCACACATTGCTACTACAACCATGGGGTGCTAGTATCGTATATCCACTGGCTATAACGTAACTCTGTTCACAGCTAGTTAACCTGACAGTCATATAATATTATTGCAGTTTGTAAGAGTTACTCACTAGTCTCGCTATAGTGGCGTTTACACGGTCGATTCCGTATTTAGGGTTTAGGCCCCTACCTGATTTCATAATTCGAGACTTGGACGGATATTCGGTGCTTATTAGATTCGGAATAATTTGACGCGCCAGCTAAGCTCCGAATTGTTAAATGCGGAATTATCTGTTCGTGTAAACGCATTCAGTGCTTGCTAGAATAATATATATATATGTATATATATATCAAGAAAATATATATACCTTCTTTATATGCTCTTGATATATATATACATATATATATATATATAGATAGAGAGAGAGAGAGAGAGAGAGAGAGAGAGAGAAGGAAGGAGAGAGAGAGAGAGAGAGAGAGAGAGAGAGAGAGAGAGAG